CTGCTCTAGCACTGAAATCCAGTGAGGGGCCCAGGGAAGATGGGAGAAGCTGGAAGAGGATGCCCAGAAGGTTCCTTCCAAGAAGCCCGGGCCTCCTTATCACCACCTCGCAATCCACCATGCTGCTTTCAGCTGATTTCTTCATGCGGTGTCTCTGCCTGCCCTCAATTTCTATCTTAGAACTTGCCATTTCTCCTTTAAGCATCTGTGCTTGGGGACTGGATGTGGTAGCCTAGGTGGCTAAAGTCCTTGCCTTGCATGTGCTGGGATCCCATATGGGAACCAGTTTGTGTTCCAGCAGCCTCACTTCCCATCCAGCTCCCTGCTTGTGGCCTGGGAAAACTGTCAAGGATGGCCCAAGGCCTTGGGACCCTGCACCCACATGGGAGACCTGAAAGGGCTCCTGGCTCCTGGCTTTGGATCGGCGCAGCTCTGGTCATTACGGCCATTTGGGGAGTGAATCAGTGGACAGAACATCCTCCTGTCTAACTTCCCAATCAAAATAAATAAATCTAAAAATAAAAATGCTGTTGTAAGAGTCTGTGCTTGGGGTTGGTATTGCACACAGCAGGTTAAGCAGCCACTCATGTGTTAGCATCTCATACTGGAACGGCAGCTCAAGTCTGGCTGCCCTGCTTCCGATGAGCTGCCTCCACGTCCTGAGAAGAAGTCAGTGGAATATGACCAAGAACTGGGGTACCTGTCACCGTGTGCAACTCTGGATGGGTTGTCTCCAGGCTTTGGTCTGGCATAGTCCTGGTGGTCCTCGTCATTTGGGGACGTGAACCAGTAGATGAAAATCTTCCTCTTCCTTTCAAATCAGTCAATCCATTTTTAAAAAGATCGTATGCTAAGGTCTCTCCTGCTTTTCTGATGGTTTTCAATGGTCTTTCCAGATCCACCTTGCCTGTGTGTCCCACAGAGTTCACATTTGTCTGCATCACAGCTCTTTATTAGGTGGTCGTAAAATTACTTATGAACACTTCTGTCTCCCCAACAGAACTGAGTTTTTGGGCCCAGTGCCACAGTCCATGCTTCTCAGCATCTCCCCCTTAGCCCCACCCAGAAAGTATGTACTATCGGTTGGCTGAGTGAATGAATGGAGTCATGTTTTAGAGCTGTTCAAAGATCAGAAGCCATTCATTTGGAACTTATTCATTAGACTACTTGGCTCCCCAAAGAATCTGTTTTCTACACTATCTGAAAGATTATTTAAAACTTCATCAATCTATTTTAATGTGTCGCAACACGGTTTCTCCCAAAGAGAGGTGGCTCCTTGCTTTGTCTTAAGGATGTGGCCTATTTTCAGGGTCAGCCTGCAGGTAGGGGCTGAGATCTGGGGTGAAGGAACCCCAGGAAGATACAACCACAGCTGGCTCGTATGTATCCCCACCGGTGCCCACGAGGTCCGTTCTTTTCTGCTGAAAGCTGATGTTGCTGGTGGCTGCGGGGGCTCTGGTGCAGGGAGAGGGTGCCTCACTGGGCATGCTGGGGAACTCATGAGGACCAGTGCTGAGGGAACCACTCTCACCTGGGGATGCGGAGGGAACTCCTAGCAAGTCCATTTATCACACGACAAGAACAAGTGAAAGGCAATCCTTTTTAAAATGTTGAGTTACGTGGCTTTGCACCGTGCCATTTATCTGTGTCTACAGTGTAAGGGAAGAGTGCCAGGCGAGTTTATTACAGTGTACCCCCCCTCGTGCTCAGGGCTCCACTTCCCTCTCCACAGCGAACACAACAGCACTCTCACTGGGTGAATGCAGACAGAAACCTGAAAACATGATTTAAAAGGCAGAGAGAGAGAGAGAGGCAGATGTTGGGCTTCCAACCACTGGTTGACTTCAGAGGAGCCAGCTATGGCTAGGGCCAGGTGCTTCACCCAGGTCTCCCTGGGTGGCAGGATCCCAAACTCTTTTCCTTTTATTTAAGATTTTATTTATTTTGATTGGAAAGTCAGATATACTGAAAGGAGTCGAGACAGAGAGGAAGATCTTGCATCCACTGATTCACACCCCAAGTGGCCACAATAGCTGGAGTTGAGCCAATTCAAAGCCAGGAGCCAGGAGCTTCTTCGGAGTCTCAAGGCTTTGGGCTATCCTCAATTGCTTTCCCAGGCCACAAGCAGGGAGCTGGATGGGAAGTGGGGTCACAGGGACAGGAACTGGTACCCATACGGGATCCCGACGGTTGCAAGGCAAGGACTTTAACTATTAGGCTATCGTGCCGGACCCAGGGCTTCAAACTCTTGAGCCATCTTCCCCTGTTTTCTCAGGCCATTTGTAGGCAGTCAGATCAGAAGTGGTATAGATAGGACATGAACAGGTGCTCATTTGGAATGCTGGCATCACAGGCAGGGACTTCATGTGTTATGTCTGAAGCAAGCCTAAAAAATGCTTTCTTTCTTTCTTTCTCTTTTTAAAAGATTTATTTATTTTTATTGGACAGGCATGTTAATAGAGACAGGAGAGAGAGAAAGAGAGAGAGAGAGAGAGAGAGAGATCTTCCAAACACTGGTTTACTTCCCAAATCTGAAGCCAGGAGCTTCCTCTGGGTCTCCCACATGGGTGCAAGGCCCCAAGGCTTTAAGCCAGCCCCTACTATGTTTTCAGGTCACAAACTAGGAGCTGGATCAGAAGCTGGGATATGAACCTGTACCCATATGGAATGGCCATGGTTGGGGTGGAGGATTAGCCAATTGTGCCAGCCCCACAAAGAAACATTTTCTTCAAAGAAAAGCTCAGCAGTTGTGAAATTGGAAGCAATCTGTAACTTTCAATTGGCAGGGTATGTTTCAGGAGTTTTCCAACAAGTGTCAAAGAGATCAAGGCTGTCAAGCATGCCTTTAAAAATCTTCACTAAGGAATGAAGTGAAGGTGCTGTCACAGTAGGTTAATGCGCTTCCCACATCAGAGTGGTGGCTGCTCTGTTTCCGATACAGCTTTTTGCTTCTGCTTCTGAGAAGGCAGTGGAGGCTGACCCCAGGCCCTGGGCCCCTGCCACCCATACAGGTGAACCAGATGGAGTTCCTGACCCTGGCTTTGGCCTGGCCCAGACCGGGCTGTAGCAGCCACTTGGGTGCGGGGTCTCCCCCACAGATTCCTCCAGTACCCCGTTACCGCAGGGGATGAGCCTGCTGTCCACCATCCATCCTCCCGGTGTGTGACAGCGGAACAGACAGACAGGGGTTCTGTCCAGCAGTTCCAATTTATTGGGGAAATTCAATTCCTTATATAGGGTAAGGGACAGCTTCAGGCCAGGAGTTTTAGGAATTCCAGGAGGGGAGAAACTAGGAGCCAATTACTAGGAACATGACTGCGGAAGCCACCTCCCATAGGCCAGGAGCAGGTGAGCGAAACGGCCCTGGCCAATCAGTCTTTATTTGAAACAACGTGACCCTGCCTGGTTCACGTTCAGGGCTCTGTGCTTGGCCGCCATCTTGTCCACCAGTGACCTTGACTGTCAGTCGCCATCTTACCGACTTAGTGACCTCTTCGCCCCTGAGCCCCACACTTGGGGAGTGAACCAGCAGATGAAAGATCTCTCTAACTCTGCCTTTAAAATAAATACGTGCGTATTTTTAAAAAAATGAAGTAGAAACATATTTACATTTCTTTTCTCTCCTAGCAAAGTGGCATGACCTGGAGTTGCAGCTTTGGCTGAGTGGAAGAAAATGGCGCATTTGCATGAAATGGGTGACGTGAAAGGACTGGTTAACGTTCCAAGACCCAAAGACAGCTCTCAAATGTCTGCCATGGCCAGGGTGGGGACAGCGACCTGTCTCCTATGTGACAGGGACCCGATCACAGAAGCTGTCCCTCCTGCTTCCCAGGGTCTCGACCAGAAGAAAGCTGGACCATAGCTGGAAACGGAGGAGCCGAGAGCCTGAGGTGTGTCATCATGGGGCTGTCTGCTTGCTCCTGACACACAATAGCTTAGCTCCGGATTCCAGAAGCCAGCACAAAGCAGACGGAGACAGTCTCTCCCGAAGGCATGGAGGGTTATAAGGCTCAGGCTGGCACACACCGACTCAGCACCCACTTCTCTCTCCCCAACACCCTACTGGTACACCTGGCAGCTGGCATGAGTCCACATGTAACATATAACAACGTGAAAGTTGTCAGACACTGGTGCTGGAGAGCTGCCTGAGGCATCCCACAAGTGCATGTTACTGAGATTCAAAACAGACCAGGAACCCGCCCCTGGGCCCTGAACCCTTACAGAGGTTTGTCTGAGATTGCTTCTTGCTCCTTCCACCACTTAACACAACGGGGGCCAGCCCGCTCCCAGCACCACCAGGCTACACAGGCCGGTGGGGACTGCAGGGTCTCCCACGGGGTCTCCCACGGGGCCTGCCACATCACGCCACTGCCCCACCCTCCCACTTGAGTACCTCTTATCGGACGTTTTGAATAAAATTATGTCTTCCCCCTCTTGTGATGGCAACAGCTTAAAATTACACACATACCCAATTACCTTTCCACAAACATCTATTGCAAGGACAATTTTAGGCTGAAGTGATTGGCCACCTTCCATTTAAAGACGTATTAAGTAAATTTAGTGGAGCTGATTAAAACCACCTTCATCAAAGTCGAACGCTAGTGTCAACAACAGAGGAATTATTGCTCTTTCAAACATTTGTTTCAAACTAGTGGATGGTACAACAGCTGCAGTGAAGCAAAAAGGTTCCTCCCCTTTACTCTGGGGATGGGGGGCCCACCGCGGCCGGGGGCGCATGCAGGGAGACCCCCGGGAGCGGCCAGGAGGGCCGCTGCACAGGCAGGGGAAGGCGTGGAGACCACCGGCCGGGCGAGGCGGAGAACGGACGCCGGCCGGGATGCCCACGTCCCGGCGGAGCCGCCGCCCGTCGGGCCGGACCCCGGCCGCAGCCCCGAGCCCGGCGTGCGCTCCCGCTCCCGGCCGCCAGAGGGCGCGGCGCGGCGCCGGCGGCGCGGGGAGGAGGGGAGCCGGCGGAGCAGGGTCAGGCGCGGCGGCAGGGCGGCGGCGCAGCTCGGCTCCCGGCGCGTGTCCGTGCCCGCGCCCCGCCAGGGTGCGCAGCCCCCCTCCGGCGGCATGCAGCCGCCCGCCCGCCGCGCCCGCCGCCTGGCGCTGCCCGCGCTGCTGGCGCTCCTCACCTGCTCCGTGGGTAAGTAGCGGGCGGCTCTCCCCCAGCCCCGGGGCGCGCACGGGCGCGGCGTGGGCTTCGCGGGCTCAGTCCCCGGGGCGCGGGGAGGCGCGGGGAGGCGCGGGACGGCCCGGCTCTCGCGGTCCCGCCGTCCGGTTCCCGTCCCCGCCGCGCCGTGCCGTCGGCAGCGCCCTCTCGCGGCGCCCAGGCGGGACCCCGAGGCGTCCCCGGCCGGCCCCTTCGGCCCGCCCGCTGCCCCGGACTCGTGCTCCCCGCCTCCTTCCGCCCGCAGCGGGCGGCTGGGCGGCGAGGGCGCGGCGGCCACCCCCCACAGGAAGCGGGAGGAACTGTGCAACTGAGAGAAACTTTGAAAGGGGCCGTGCGGCGGTGCCGCCTTCCGCCCGCGCGCTCCACGCTGGCCCGGGGCTGCTGGCACCTCCCCGCGTCCCCGGGCGCCCCTCTCCGTGTCCCGGGACTCCCTCCCCGCGTCCCCGGGACCCCCTCTCCGCGTCCCCGGGCGCCCCTCTCCGTGTCCCGGGACTCCCTCCCCGCGTCCCCGGGACCCCCTCTCCGCGTCCCCGGGCTCCCCTCTCCGTGTCCCGGGGCGCCCCTCTCCGCCTCCCCGGGGCCCCCTCTCCGCCTCCCCGGGCGCCCCTCTCCGTGTCCCGGGACTCTCTCCCCGCGTCCCCGGGACCCCCTCTCCGCGTCCCCGGGCTCCCCTCTCCGTGTCCCGGGGCGCCCCTCTCCGCCTTCCCGGGTGTCCCTCTCCGCCTCCCCGGGCGTCCCTCTCCGCGTCCCCGGGGGCCCCCTCTTCGCGTCCCCGGGCGCCCCTCTCCGCCTCCCCGGGCGTCCCTCTCCGCGTCCCCGGGGGCCCCCTCTTCGCGTCCCCGGGCGCCCCTCTCCGCCTCCCCGGGCGTCCCTCTCCGCGTCCCCGGGTGTCCCTCTCCGCCTCCCCGGGCGTCCCTCTCCGCGTCCCGGGGCGTCCCTCTCCGCGTTCCCGGGCGCAGGGACCCACGGCCCGCCCCGGTCCTCCCCGCCCGCTGCCCGCTTGGCACCGGCCCCGGCCCCGGCTCGCATTGTGCCCGGCGCGGCCCCCCGCGAACAGACGTGGCTGTTTGGGGGACGCGGTGGAAAGCCCTCGGGTGTCCTCCCTGCCAAACTGGCACGTCCGAAAGCGGCGCCTGCCAGCTCTCCCGCTGACGAGCGATGCTCGCTCCTTCTCCCTTCCGTTCTCCTCACAAGGGCATCTCCCCGCTACCTCGCGAAACGCGATCAAAGTTACAAAGACACCCAAGCCGGAGCCTTGTGCTTGGCTCTCCGGGTGAGGTTTGTTCAAGTTGGAAGGCTTGGGCGAGAAACCCTTTCCTTTTCTGACCGCGAGGAGTTAGTCCTCTCTCCCACTTGCTTGTGTCTCCAGCCCCGGTTGGGGAAAGGCGGTGATTCCAGACGTTTTAGAAACGGCAGAGTGGTGCCGTTTGGGAAGAGACGTGGCGATCGAGCTGGTCCGTTTTGTTTGGACCTCAGCTCTGTGAAGAAGGCAGGGAAGGCCTTTCCTGTGTACCCCCTGTTATTTCCCTGGACGCTCAGTCCACAGGACTGTGCATAGGACGCTTGTGCACAGGTCTGGTGAATTTGGCAAGAATGTAATTAAAGACTATGGGGCTGGCTTGGGCAGGGAAGGCTGTCGTGGTTCCTGGGGAGCAGTGGCTTTGTGGGGAAAGAGGCATGGCTGCGTGGCCACTCTGGGCGCAGACCGGGAGCCTGGGGTTTTGGGAAGTTGACCAGATGACCCTGCCTGTGTCAGCTGGCTGGTTGCCTGGAAGGTTTGCAGATAACCGAATGGGTGGGTGGCAGCTGAAATTGGCTTTCTGCTTACATCTTCACAGTGCTGCACTGGGCATATAATATTTGTATGTCATGTGCAGTATATAGATGGAACAAATGCACATTGCTACTGCTGTGGGATCTGTCTCGCTCCTGGGAAGGAAATATTTGTGCTAGTCACATTTGGTACTGCACTGAAGGACATTAGTGGAACTACGATGTCAACACGTTTTTAGAGATGCTTATTAGCCTGGTGAAGTTGGCAGATAAGCATAATAAATAAGGCGCAAAATGCATTTAATTGTCCTGGGAGGCGTTGGGGCTTTGTGAACCGGCCTTCATGGGTGGGAAGCGACAGCTGGCTGTTTTCCCCGCAGGATCAGAAGTGAATCAGGAGTGCTTTTTACTGAGTTTTGCTTGCTGTGATGTTAGGGAAGGGGGCCTCAGAGACGCTGCCCCTCTTCCTGCCTTTATGGACTTTCTGAGACAAAGACTGTGACAGGCGTTCGAGGCATGCGGCCAGTCCTGAAGGTTTAAAAATACCTGCCTTGTTTGCCCGTCAGCCTGGTCTGACGGTCTAGAGTCTCCCCATGAACGATAACATTGATTTCAGTTTTCAGAAGAAAATCAATAGAGAAAATTTATTTTAAACCCAAATGCATGTATAGGACAAAATTCTCAGCAGCCTGAGTTCTAAAGGTTGGTCTCCACTTCCTTAGCTCTGGCTCAAGGGCTGGCCTCCACCTTTTGCATATAAAACTGAAGGCATTGCCGTCTTTTACAGTTTTTAACTCACTGGCTGTGTCATCGCAGAGGCTGCTAACAGCCTGTCCCTACCCCACAACTTTGTTCCTGTCTTCTTTCTTTTTCTTTTTTTTTTTTTTTTATTTATTGTTGCTTACATTATATTATGTAGTACAGTTTTATAGGCGCTGGGGATCCCCCCCACCCCTCCCATACCCCTCCCCCCATGGTGGATTCCTCCACCTTGTTGCATAACCATACAAGTTCAGTTGAGATTCATTGCTTGCAAACACATGCCTAGCATAAAGTTCAGCGTCTTATTGTCCAGATAAGTTCAGTGGCCTCTTGGGGAGACCTTCTATGGTCTGAAGATAGGTCTAACAGAGTAAAGATCCAGTCAGTTAAAAGCCCCAACAAGGCCTCAGTATCATTATACAACATTATGGAATTAATTGACATAGTATTGGGTAAACAATATGTTAAAAATAATGCAAGTTCCATTCTTCGAAACATCTGGGTTGAGACAGTATCAATGACAGGTTCAAAAAATAACAAACAACCAAACAAAAAATTACAGGTTAAATCAAGGCAAACATGTGGTATCTAATCTTTTGGGATTCGCTCATTTCCCTTAGCATTATAGTTTCCAGTTGTGCCCATTTAGCCACAAAGAACTGCATTTTGTTTTTTTTAATAGCTGAGTAGTATTCCATGGAGTAGATGAACCAAAGCTTTCTTATCCAATCTTCTGCTGATGGGCATTTCGGTTGCTTCCATGTTTTCGCAATTACTGATTGTGCTGCAATGAACATAGGGATGCATGTTGGTTTGTCGTAAAACAGGTGTTTTGGATATATTCCTAGGAGTGCTATTGCTGGGTCATATGGTATGCAGATTTTGAGTTGTTTGAGTGTTCTCCAGACTGATTTCCATAAAGGCTGTACCAATTTGCAGCTCCACCAGCAGTGGAGTAGGGTTCCCTTTTCCCCGCATCCTCGCCAGCAAGCGTCGTTGGTGTTCTTGTTTATGTGGGCCAATCTTACTGGTGTTAGGTGGTACCTCATCGATGTTTTAATTTGGATTTCCCTTATTGCTAGGGAGCTGGAACATTTTTTCATATGTTTGTTTGCCATTTGGACTTGTTCCTTTGTGAAATGTTTGCCCATTTCCCGTGCCCATTTCTTGAGTGGCTTGTTTGTTTTGGTTTTTTGGTTGTTTTGAAGTTCTTTGTATATCCTGGAAATTAGCCCCCTATCGCCTATATCGTGTGCAAAGATCTTCTCCCACTCTGTGGGTTGCTTTTTTACTTTGTTGATTGTTTCCCTTGCTGTACAGAAGCTTCTTAGTTTGATGAGGTCCCATTTGTTTATTCTGTTCTCAACTGCTATTGCTTTTGGTGTCCTTCTTAGAAAGTCGGTACCTACTCCTAGGTCTTGCAGGGTATTTCCTACATTTTCTTGCAAGAGTTTGAAGGTTTCTGGATGTAGGTTTAGGTCTTTTATCCATGTAGATTGGATCTTAGTGTATGGTGATAGATGTGGGTCTATCTTTTTGTTTCTACAGGCTATCAGCCAGTTGTCCCAACAACATTTACTAAAGAGTCCTTCCCACTTGCTTAAGCTGTCATTGGTCTTTTTGTCAAAGATTAATTGGCTGTATCTGTGTGGATTCCCTTTTGGTGCTTCTATTCTATTCCATTGATCTTCCTTTCTGTCTTTGTGCCAGTACCAGGCTGTTTTGATAACCACTGCTCTATAGTATGTCCAGAGGTCCGGGATTGTGATTCCCCCTGCTAATTTCTTATTTTTCAGGATGGTTCTAGCTATTCGTGGTTTTTTGTGTTTCCAGATGAACTTTTGAATCATTGTATCCAGTTCCGTGAAGAATGTTTTGGGCAATTTGATTGGAATTGCGTTGAAAATGTATATTGCTTGTGGTAGTATAGACATTTTAATGATATTGATTTTGCCTATCCAGGAGCACGGGATGTTATTCCATCTTTTGAGGTTTTGTTCAATTTCCTTTTTAAATAGTTTGTAGTTTTCTTCGAATAGGTCTCCTACACTTTTGGTTAGATTTATTCCCAAATACTTCATACTTCTCTCTGCTATTTTGAATGGTATCCTGTTGGTTAGATCTTCTTCCATCTTGGTGTTATTTGCGTACACTATGGCTGTTGATTTTCGTTCGTTAATTTTGTACCCCGCCACTCTGCCAAACTCTCGTATAAGTTCTAGCAGTTTCTGTATTGAGTCTCCTGGTTTTTCTATGTATAGGATTATGTCATCTGCATATAGTGAAAGCTTGACTTCTTCGTTTCCTATACGTATGCCTTTGATTTCTTTTTCTTGTCTTATGGCCTCTGCAAGTACGTCTAGGACTATGTTGAATAGCAGTGGTGATAGTGGGCACCCTTGTCTTGTTCCAGATCTCAGTGGGAAGGGTTCTAGCTT